CAGAATAAGAGTTGCATAGTAAAGTGGTCTGTGGTGGGGTGGGTTGGGGAGCTGTATAACAATGAAAGAACTTTTTTCCTAAAGAAAAAAATGATCTGGGGGCAAGTGAGGGCCAGGGAGGAAAATGTGCAACAATGAAGGATTGGAAACGCAAGTTCTTTATACACTTTCATTAAAATAAAAAAAAAAAAAGTAATGGACATCTTATGTAAGATAAAGTATTGAAAATATTATGGTCTGAATTTATTCTTGCTAATTCATCAGATTTCCCCCCATTTTGTATCTAGGATCTTCTCAGTAATTTTATCAAGACATCTGAAAGTAATATAATTAAACAGACTATTTGCAGTTACCTAGATTGTGAGAGATCTTGTGAAGCTGATGTTTTACAGGACACCATTTATAAGGTACTAGAATTAACAACTAAGTATTTTAAAAATGTATCTGATGGTCTTTTGACTGATAAATGTTCAATTCCATATAGATCTTATCTAAGAATAGCAGTTTTAAAAGTGACTCATGGCATTATTTTTTAATAGCTGTGTAAACTGCTATTTTCATCTAAACAGTTCGCTTTTATTCTTATTCTTTCTCAGGGATTTGTTCAGTTAACGTGCAGTAAAACTTGTTGCATTTATTTCCATAAAATTTGCTGGAGGAGGTTCAAGAATGTAAAATATCCAGGTGAAAATGATCAGGTAATTGCTTTTCCTTCTCTTTGGTTTTTTTAAATAAAGTTTTTATTTTATACTGGTCAACTTATAAAGTTCATATACATTGTTTTTTTCATACTAGATCTTTCTCATTTCCTCTACCCACCCCTCCCTCTATCCATCAAATTGTGTGACCCTATGATTAACAAACCTCCCCAGCCCACCCATTCTCACCCCTTTGCTCCCACCCTCCCTGCCTTGGATCCTCATGCATGTTCTACAATAATAGTCTTATACAGTATTTGTCCTTATAGGACTGAGTTAGTCCACTTAGCATAATGTTCTCCAGTCCCTCCCAAGTTAGGTAGTGATTTACAAAAATTATTGTTCTGCACGCTGCATAGTATTCTGTCATGTAAATATACCATAATTTCTCAATCCGTTTGATTATGTTTGGACATTTTTTCCATGTTCTTGCAATGGTGCATAACCTTGCTAGCAGTGCTGGTGTTCAAGTCTCGATTAGTGCCTCAGTTTTAGTTTTCTTGGGGTATATTCAGAGCATTGGTATAGCTGAGTCATGGAGTTTCTGTATTCAGCTTTTTGAGAAAATGCCAAACTGCCTTCCAGTGTGGTTGGTTATACCATTTTACAATCCCACCAACAATATATGAGTTCCATCTCACCATATTTGCCACTGATGCTGGAGTGAGACAGTATCTCGTGGTTTTGTTTTGCATCTCTCTTATTGCCAGTGATTTAGAGCATTTCTTCATGTGTCTGTTGGCCATCTGAATATCTTCCTCTATGTGAAGCAATCTACATGTTTAATGCAATCCCAAAACAGGTACCAAATTCATTTTTCAAGGAGATCAAAAGGGAAATTGTTAGGTTTCTTTGGAAATGAATGAGACCTCGAATAAGCAAAGCACTTCTGAAAAACAAAAATGAGTGGGAGACATAGCACTCCCTGACCTCAAAACCTATTACATACACAACAGTAGTAATCAAAACAGCCTGGTACAATGACAGGCACATAGACCAATGGAACAGAATTGAGAAACCAGAAATGGACCCATCTATCTATGGTTAATGGATATTCAAAAAGGTAATAAGACCTATCAAATGGGGAAATGACAACTTCTTCAACAAATGGTACTGGTAAAACTGGGCTGCTACCTGCGGAAAGCGGAAACAGGATCCACATCTCACACCACACATAAAAACCAACTCTAGGTGGATTAGAGACCTGAGAGTAAAGTCTAAAATCATAATGTTCGTAAGAGACACATTTGGATCAAGTTTAGATGACCTTGTTTATAGTCAAATTCAGCCAGAAATGCACAATTTGGAGAGGATAAAAATGATGAATGATACCTTCTAAAGATTAAATTCCTGTGTGAATCAAAAACTTTTTCCAAAAAACTCAAAAACACAAAACACAACCAACCAACCCCAAAATCCCCAACCAAACTTTTTCCAACAGAGTGAGAAGAAAACCTACTGACTGGGAAAAACATTTGGTAATACCATTTCAGATAAGGGTCTCATATCAAAAGTTTACAGAATCCTCAATGAGCTCTGGTGGCCTAGTAGCAAGAAGCTGCACTGCAATCC